TCTACACTAGCCGGTTATCTAACCACAGCTGTGTCGGTCAGGGCTTGGAAAAGACCCCCTTCCCCAGTGCTGTCACCATGTGTCCAGGGACTGAACAAATTTCAACTCTTTCTACTCTGGGGCAGAGCACTGGTCTTGAAGTGTGCTAGGAGCTGTACAAACAATAGTAAGAGACAGTCCCAGCACCTGGGCTGACAGTCTACTCAGGCCAAAGGCAGGGGGGAAACTGAGGCACAGAGAGGCAGTGATGTAGTAGAAAGAGGAGCTGTACTCAGCTCTGCTTACATCCAGTCCAGTGCTCCAGCCAGTCCTGGCTGCGTGGGCAGAGCTCCTGCCCATGGGACATTAGCTCTGCTGCCCTGATCCTGCAATGGGACACACCACTCTGTGGGCACAGGGGTCCACCCCCCGCGGATGCAGTGCCGGATCAGGGCTGTTGTCTGTGGTGGGGGAGGCTGCCCGGCTAGCCAGCCCCTCCCGAGGCCTGGTAGCTGCTGTCCGGATTCTTAGCAGCTCATTGGTGGATGGGTAAGATATTAATGAGAAGCCGTTTGCGGGGGCGGTTGGTATTTGAATTCTGGCTGCTTTCAAGGCTTTCTATGCTCGGGCTCCTACTCGCTCCCTTCTCCATCTGTGCTCACCAGGGTTAAATGGGGTCTGGGGTTTTTCCCTTTTAACAGTCCCAGCAAGAGCAAGCTCCAGTCTGCCTGGCCAGCAGAGCCGCATCCGGCCTGGCACAGGCGTCTCTGTGGGTCAGGGACTCAGCCCAGCCCAGTCCCTGCAGCCTGAGGCCTATTCCTGCCCAGAGGCGTTTGGCTCCCTGCACAGCGTGAGACGTCCCCAGCCTAGCAGCAGCACTGGGAATTAATCAGAAGCAGCGTGAGCAGCCGTAAAGAACATTCTGGCATTTTCCTGTCTGTGTCTTCGCTCCATGAGCTCAGGACAGCTCCCCAAGGGGGGTAACACCCAGACAGGAGCAGGGCTAGAACCCAGCTAGCAACCTGGGCCAGCATCCCTGGAAAGGCTCTCGTTGACCATGCTGAGTGCTGGACCAGCGCCTAGGAACGCAGCCACAGGACGCAGCTAATCGAAGGCTAGGTCCATTGCAAAATTCTCTTTCAGGGGGCCAGTGGGCTCAGAGACCTTCCATCCCCATGCCCTGCTCAGCCAGACAGTGGGGCAAGTGGGGCTCAAATGTCGACTCGTAAGGTTGGGACCAGTTAGAAGCATAAAGTCCGGAAGGCGTAGAAACCTTCTGCCAGTCGCTGGAGACCTTCCTGGGGACAGATTATCCTGCCACGGCCCTTTGGGAGGGTCTGTCACTTTCCTCTGAGACATCTGGGAGGGGATTTGAGAGCAGCCTTCAATTATCTGCAGGGAGGTTCCAGTGAGGATGGAGAGAGGCTGCTCTCAGCGGTGACGATGGCAGAACGAGGAGCAATGGTCTCAAGCTGCAGTGGGGGAGGTCTAGGTTGGATATTAGGAAAAACGATTTCCCTAGGAGGGTGGGGAAGCGCTGGGATGGGTTCCCTAGGGCGGGGGTGGAATCTCCATCCCTAGAGGTTTTTAAGTTCTGGCTTGATAAAGCCCTGGCTGGGATAATTGGGTTGGTTTGGCCCTGCTTCGGGCAGGGGGCTGGACTCGATGACTCGTGAGGTCTCTTCCAGCCCTGGGATTCTATGATCTAGTGCTGGCTGCGGATGGAGGTAGCTCACTGGGCTAGACAAATGGCTCTGGTCCAGCCTCTGTCCCTCTAGACTGGGCATTCTCTAGCATCACTTCCATTGGACACAGTCCCGGGTCGGTCTCCCTCCTGATGGGGCATTTCTCAGGCGTACGCGGTGGTGTCCCTAGCTAGCCAGATGGTCTAGACAGGCCAGTGTCTGCACTTTGCTTTCTCTGCAGAGGCTCTAACCAGCTGCAGTCCCCAGCTCCCTTCCAGCCCTTTCCAAGCAAGCACAGTTATTCCTAAATCCAAGGCATGGCAGGGAAAGCATCCAAAACCATAGACAAAGCTGCAATCACACTAGCTGCTGGCGTTGTCTTCACCCCCAGCGCCAGCAGCAGGAGACAGCCCTTCAGACCTACCCAGGGTTTTCCTGTGCTGAGCAGTTCATTACAGCCTCAGGCTCGGCCCTTTGATCTGGAGATGCTGGGAACATCCACAGACAGAGCTCCTCTCCCAGGTGGTGTTTCCAAAGGTTTTGCATGTGGGGAATTTGCACCATAATTCACAAACCTTACGTGTCCTACAATGGACCCCGAAGCTACTGAACCTTAATTCAATGTGGCCTCCGGAGGATATGGCAGGAAAGTGCCCTATCTCTCCTGAAAGCCAGCCCCACTTGACACTGCTCACCTGCATGTCAGTGATTTAACATCTAGTTAGTATGTGTGTGCCTCAAAGAGTTTATCAGTGAAGAGACAGGGGGGAAAGCTGGCACCGAGAGGCAGAGGGGTGTGAGACGATGCGTTGGGGTTCCCCCGACTCCTGCACCCCCGTAATAGCATGGACAGACTCCATCAGCCAGTAGAATAGAGGGAGTTTATTGCTTCTCCAGGATACAGCACAGCCTAGATGAAATCTGGTTACAGGGCAGGCCTAGGATGCCTCAGCCCCCCTTGAGTTGGGGGAGACTGGGCCCCTAAATCCCAGCCCCTTGCTTAGGCTGCTTCCTCCATGATACCAGACAGAAACTGCCCAACTTCCAACCCTGCCCCCTGCACTCCGCCTTCCTCCCTTTGTTCCTCTCCCTGGGAGGTAACCAGTAGAACAGGTTACCTCCCTGACCCATCAGCTACTCGGCTGGGCCGTGGGACAGACAGCAGCCAGGGGGGGGCACCCACTACCCACACCACATCCCAGGGTGTGCCCAAGCTCACACAGCAGGGCAGGGGTAAAGCCAGGAGTAGACCTCCAGGTTCTTACTTCCCACTTCACTCCCCTACCCACTGGACCACACTGCTGCTTCCCCCCATCTCGAAGCACGTTGGAGCACAACATCAGCAGGTGATTATGGATCTAGTTCAGCCTGATTGTTGCTATGGCCTCAATGGCTTTTAAAGCTGGCTAGAGGTGTGAGGTCAATTTCTCCGGTGCAGAGCCGGCCTATAAGAAGCTGATCATAAAGGGACCGGTATCCAGGGCTGGGTTTCCCTCCTCCCTCACCATCCCCGGAGCAGCTTTGTCAGGGGCGTCTGCTCGGGGAAGACTGCTCGGCTCTCGGGCAGCAAAGCCATCATGATCCTCTTTCCATTCGTCTCAGAATCCCATCCGTCGAGATCCAGAACTAATGAAAAATGCGGGTGTGAGGCTAAGTCTCATAATGCTCGGACTCTGGATTGATGCTGACTGAGAGCCGAATCCAGCCACGTCCTTTGTATTCACAGGGTAAGAAATTAAAACCCTTAGGCTGTGTCTAGACTGCATCCCTTTTCCGGAAAAGGGATGCAGTCTAGACACAGCCTAAGGGTTTTAATTTCTTACCCTGTGAATACAAAGGACGTGGCTGGATTCGGCTCTCAGTCAGCATCAATCCAGAGTCCGAGCATTATGAGACTTAGCCTCACACCCGCATTTTTCATTAGTTCTGGATCTCGACGGATGGGATTCTGAGACGAATGGAAAGAGGATCATGATGGCTTTGCTGCCCGAGAGCCGAGCAGTCTTCCCCGAGCAGACGCCCCTGACAAAGCTGCTCCGGGGATGGTGAGGGAGGAGGGAAACCCAGCCCTGGATACCGGTCCCTTTATGATCAGCTTCTTATAGGCCGGCTCTGCACCGGAGAAATTGACCTCACACCTCTAAAATAAGGAATTTAAATTTAAATGAAGCCGCGATTATTTAAATCGCGGCTTCATTTCCCTTTGCCGATCAGCCTAATCTACATGGCTCCCTCGATGGAGCCATGTAGTTTAGACACACCCTAAGCCTTGTAAACCACGGGTCTGTACAGCTTCTGTGCGGTAGGGTGTTCCGCAGCTCTCATTACAAGTGCTGGGGGATCTGGGAATGAACAGTGCTTTACTGGCTGCATCCTGCAAGATGCTGATGATGCCAAAGGCCCACTGATTCTAGCATCTCCCAAGTTGAGGCTCCTCAAGGACCCTCACTTTCTGGAGCATTGGTCACAAGCAAATGCAGCAAGTAAGTGCAAGACAAATGAATGTGGGAGCAATTCGACTCTGAATTAAAATTGGTGTGAATCTGGAGTGACAATGGAGTCACACCAGATTCCCCCCAGTGTAACTGACAGCAGACGCTCGCTCTGTATATTTGAGTGGTGCGTTGATGGCTTTCCCTAGTACAAAATCTCTTCTTGAAAGCTAGCTGCAGATTTTGTCACTGGACCTAATTCTGCTTTCACTCATAGGCACTGGTTTCCTCATTTCCCCTCAGCACCTCCTGCACTCCACTGAACAGCTGATCTGCAGTGGGCAGGCCGTCTGACTTGCGGGGGTGGGGAGGAGCTGATCTGCAGGTGGATGCTGAGCACCCCAATTTTTCTGGAGCACCCACAGCGTGGGTGCCTGTCCTTATACCACTTTTACACTGAGTTCAATTGAGTTGCTCCAGATTTATCCTGGTATCAGACCCATTGTGTTTACCCATCTCCTTTCTCCCTCCTCCCTCAATGGGCCAGATTCGGATTTCATGAGTACATGGGTGTAGTTCTGTAGGGCCAGATCCTCCGCTGGTGTAAATGGGGGCAGCACCATTAAAGTCAATGGAACTCACCAGTTTATACTGGATAATGATCCAGCTTGGTGATGTCCCTGGTGTCCTGAATTTACAAGGGTGGAACGGGGATCAGACCTGGCCCAGTATCAGAACAGCTCTTCACAGATGCTTCTGTTGCAGCAGTAGCTACATCCCTGCCTTTGTACTGAGTCAGCCTCAAGCACAGCCCAGTTCAGAATCACGCCAGCAGCAGACTCCTCCGTGCGAGGATGCCTGGTGTCTCTCTGCTGTGGACAGCTCCCTCTGCCCGGTCATAAAGTGCTTGAAATGCACCATCGATTGCGCTTTATTAGATCGTACCGAGCAGGAGCATATGAACGGAGAGATTTAATAAAACCCCCCTCCAGACACGAGTGAGCCGAGTCGCCATTATCCGACCACGAATGCGGCCGGGAGAAATTGGGTGGCTTGGAACTCGCGTGGCTTGGTGCAGGAAATCTCACAAGGCTACCAAAGTGAGTCCAGGTGACAATGGGCATGCGGGTGCCGCTGATCTAGCAGTCGAAATGCACCAGTTGGGCCCTCCACCGCGGCCAGGTCCTCCAGCTTGCAGGCTCTCAGCTGGGCGCTGCAATGCAGGAGAGGCCTGGCTGTGAGTGCAGCCGCACCAGCACTAGGGTGTGGGGGAAGCTGGGGCTGTGGGGGGCTGGTCCGAGCCTGGGGGAACCTGCAGAGCTCAGGGCTCCCCTTGCCCCCGGGGCCTGAGACCCCAGAAGCAGCCAGGTGGGCTCAGCCCACAGCTTCCACTGCACAAGGGGCCAGTGGCTGGGGGGGGGGCGCCCAGGGTGAGGTAGCAGCTGGGGGGCTAAAATGGCGGCAGAGGATCCAGGCTTTGGGGACAAGGAGTGGCTGGATTTCCTGAAGGAGCAGCTCATGCGCGTCTCCCAGCGCCGCCTGCAGACCCTCCCCGAGGGATGCTCCTCCCTGAGACAGCAGGTACCGGCCGAGCCTGGGAGGCAATGGGAGCAGGATGCTGCTCCTGCTGCTGCTCCCAGGCTGGCCCCGGGCGGTGTGTGCCAGGCTGAGGGGGCCTGCTGGAGCTGTCTCAGAGCCTGTCCCATCAACATGCCTCACGGTCAGGTTCTGCTCCTGGCCAGCTCCCAGGCTGGGGATCCTGTTGCTGCTCCATTGGCCAGAATCCAACCAATGGAGCAGTGGGAAGCCAGGCCTGGGACAGGGAGCTTGAGAGCAGCGTGGGTGCAAAAAGCAAGTAAGTGCTGCCCAGACTCTGCACACCCCACCGCGCAAAACCCTGCACCCCCAGCATGCTCCTGCCCCCTCCGCCCTGGCCAGATACCCACCCGCATCCTGCTCCAGCTTCTCTGGGAAACGAGGCTGACATTCTGTGCCTAATGGAAAGAAAGAGACTTCGGCAGTGGTCCTGGAAAAAGCAAGGGGGGTGTTTCACTCACGCACACGCACAGGGCCTCTTATTCCAGGGTGAGACAAACAACTTTCCAGCTGCAGTAAAAGCTCATCTCTTGACTGGACAGAAGAGACAAATGAGGGTAGCTAGAGCAAGTGACAACAATTAAGATGTAGTCTCACAGGGTATGTTTACGCTTGCCCCCTAGTTCGAACTAGGGAGGCAAATAAAGCATACCGAAGTTGCTAATGAAGCACGGGATTTAAATATCCCGCGCTTGATTAGCATATTTGCGGCCAGTTGCCATTTTAAAAAGCCGGTAACCCGAATTAACTCGCCGCGTGTAGACGTGGTAGTCCGATCCAAAACTCTTCCCTTGAATTAATTGTTACTCCTTGTGCAGTGAGAAGTAACAGTTAATTCGAGGGAAGGGTTTTGGATCAGCCTACTGCGTCTACACGTGGTGAGTTAATTCGGGCTACCGGCTTTTTAAAATGATGACCGGTTGCGAATATGCTAATCAAGCGCGGGATATTTAAATCCCGTGCTTCATTAGCAACTTCGGTATGCTTTATTTGCCTCCCTAGTTCAAAGTAGGGGGCATGTGTAGACATACTCATAGCTATCAAGGAAAAGCTGTCCATGTTTGGCGGTGGTGGGAGGAGGGAGGTTAACAGGACACTGTTGAATTAACGTAGAGACTATCATGAACTTTCAGAAGAAGTGGGTTGTGCCCATGAAAACTCATGACCCCAGCTACAATTTTCTTAGGGTATGTCTACACTACCCTCCTATTTCGAAATAGGAGGGTAATGTAGGCATACCGCACTTGCAAATGAAGCCCGGGATTTGAATTTCCCGGGCTTCATGTGCATAAGCTGGGAGCCGCCATTTTTAAATCCCGGCTGGTTCGAACCCCGTGCTGCGCGGCTACACGTGGCACGGGGTTCGAACCAGCCGGGATTTAAAAATGGCGGCGCCTGGCTTATGCAAATGAAGCCTGGGAAATTCAAATCCCGGGCTTCATTTGCAAGTGCGGTATGCCTACATTACCCTCCTATTTCGAAATAGGAGGGTAGTGTAGACATACCCCCAGTCTCTAAGGTGCTGCAAGACTGTTGTTTTTAAAGTTTTTCCTGTTACAGACTAACTCGGCCACCCCTCTGAAACTGCTGAATTAGTTTGAACATAAAAATGTGACCTACCTTCAAATGCTCTGATGAGGCAGGGAAAACGAAAGATCCCTGGGAAGTTGGAGAACACAATTACAGTGGGTTATACAATATGCCCCATGCAACATTTTATTCGCCTATCTGCCCCTCGTTGGCTAAAAGGGAGCAGTTAACTACTCAACAATATCCCCAAAGCTTTGCCAAGCTGCTAGTCGAGGGCAAATTCTGTTCTCACCCAGGCCAGGGTGTGCAATGCTCATTGGGCTGAGACCATGGTGATGAGTAGAGCCCAGATTAGATTTGAGTCCTGTAAATCTCTCCTTAAAACCCACGTGTGTCAGGCTGGCGACAACACTCAGGCAAGAGGTTAGTCAGCTGAAGAGCCAGGGCCTCTGTTTATGCCGTTAACCAAGGTTGTTTCATGAGCTCGTGCCTAGACTGTAAACTCATCAGGGTAAGGAGCATCTTTCTGTTATGTCTGTACAGTACCAAGCACAATGGTGGTCCTGGGGTGCCTGATTGGTGGTCTCCCGTCACTTCCTCATTAGCAATAATAACAATGGAATCACAGACAGGCTAGAAGGAGCCTTGAAAGGCTACCAACTCCAGCGCCCCGCACCGAGGCAGGACCAGGGAAATCTAGCCCGTTCCTGCTACGTGTTTGTCTAACCAGACTCTGTCCGATTTATCAGCATCTGGGTACGGCACCCCCTCCTGTGCCCCCGTAGTGGCATGAACAGACTCCACCAGCCAGTAGAATAGAGGGAGATTATTGCTTCTCCAGGATACAACACAGCACAGATGTAATCTGGTTACAGGAACTGGGGCTAGGAGGCCTCAGTGCCCCCCCTTGAGATGGGGGGTGGCTGGGCCCTACAATCACAGCCCCCTCCCTAGCTCCTTCTCCCCTGCTTCCCAGACAGCAAAACTCAAGACCCTCCCTTCCAGCCCTGCTCCCCAGCCAGGGGCGGCATTTCACCTTCCTTTGTTCCTCTCCCTGGGGGGTCACTGGTAGAACAGGTGACCTCCCTGTCCCATCAGCTACTCGGCTGGGCCGTGGTACAGACAGCAGCCAGTGGGGGTCACCCACAGCCCAAACCTAGCAACCAGCAAGGTACCCCCACTACGTCACACCCCGCCTTGGACACAGAAGTGCATTTGAGACCTCCCCGGAACGGAGTCGATGGGGGCATGTCATTCATAGGACACTTCTGTTAAATGCTCAGAGTAGTAACCTTTTATGCAACAGCATCACGTCATGGACTCAAAGTCAGTTTGTGACCCACTCATGGGTGGTGGGTTACGCAGGCTAAGGGAGACTGTGCCTCACCAAGGAGCTGAGCGTGGCCCCCTGCTTTGCCCTTGTGCGGCTCCTGTCCAATTTCCTGTGCTCCGGCAAGGCTGGGGAGGTTGAAGGGGGTGGCTGCATATTACCTGCCTTCCCCATGCTCTGGGGCAGAGGGGGCTACCTGGGGGTGAGGCTCAGGGCCAGTGGCTATGCTGGCAGGGGGGGCTCTGAGCTCTCGTGGGGAGCAGAAGGGGCGGGGCTCCTCCAGCCAGGGGTTCACCTGCTGCCCTCGGATACATTGGCACCCACAGAGTCTTTTCCGCAGTACTACCACGTAGCCAGTTTGTCCTCCTTTGGAAGTGTGACATTTCCCCTCTCTTGGGGTAGTCCTTTGCACTTATCTTTATTGACTGTCCCTGGGTTGAATTCAGAGCAATTCTCCAGTTTGCCAAGGTCATTTTGCAGTCAAATCTTGTCCTCCAAAGTGCTGACAACCCCTCCCAGCTCGGTGTCAGCTGCAATTTTTGCAAGCACCCTGTCCACTCTCTTCTCCAAGTCACTGAGGAAAACACTGCACAGTACTCAACCCAGGCCTGAGCCCTGTGGGACCCCCCTTAGATGTGCCCTTCCAGTTTGCCAGCAAACCATGGTACCCACCCTTTGAATATGGTCTTTCAGCCAGCTGTGCACTCAGGGTGTGTCTAGACTACAGGGTTTTGTCGACAAAAGTGGACTTTTGTCGACAAAACTATACCTGCGTCCACACTGCCTTTGAGTTATGTCGACATATGTAAACCTCATTCTACGAGGAATAATGCCTTTTGTCGACAGAGTTCTGTCGATAGAAGGCATTATTGCATCTACACTGTCCTTTGCGTCCACACTGTTATGGCAACAAAGCGGCTTGCTTTGTCGACAGAACTGGATGTAGACTAGACGCTCTATGTCGACATAAGTTTTGTCGACAGATTCTGTCGACAAAACTTATATCGACGTAAGCCTGTAGTCTAGACATACCCTCAGTGTATAGTAATTCCATCTAGCCCTCATGTCCCTAGTCTGTTTATCCAAAACCTGCGTCAAAAACCACACGAAAATCAAGCTATGCCATGACTGTTATGTCTCCCCATGCGCCAGGCCAGTAACCCCGCCAAAGAATGTAATAGCTTGCTCTTATCGCACACGTTTATCAGTAGACCTGAAAGCATTTTACAGAGCAGGGCAGTATCATTATCCCCATTTCACAGATGAGGGAAACTGAGGCACAGGATGTGGAAGTGACTTTCCCAAGGTCGCTCAGCAGGCAGTGGCTGAGCTGTGAATTCACCCTGTCTCCTGAGTCCTAGCCCAGGGCAGTGTCCAGGGTCTGGCCAAGGTGAGCAGGTAGACACAAGAGGCTCACAAAGCAAGGTTAGCTGAGCTGCTGTTTAGGGAAATGGTGCCGAAAGCGATTCAGAAGCTCGAAGAGGGAAGGGTTTAATATCGAAAGGGAAACCACCAGGGCAGTGCCAAAGCTACAGTGCGTGTGGTGGAAGTTCAGGCACCTGCTCCTCTCCCCACTACTGGTCCCTCTGATTAGCGTCTCCATGCCCTGCCTGCACGTGCCCGTTTCAGTCCCGACTCGTTGCTTTCCAGACCATTGCACTTGGAGCTTGTTAGTGAGCTGAGTTGTTCCAGTCCTGCCTCACTCAGCTAGCTCTGCCCGGGCACCTCGGTCCCCCTCTGCCGCCCCCTCTGCTAGTCCAGCCTGGAGCTCTCCCCCAGCTCTGCCTCAGTCTCATCACCTCGGCCATTGCAGCCTTGGTGCACATGCACCCTGCCCCGCAGCCGCTCTGCTAACGCACGCCTGACAACGCCTGCTGAGAGACACCCCGCCGTGGCAACCCAGCCCCTCACGCTGGCTGAGGCACTTGGTCGACAAGCCAGTGCCCGCTAGGGACCAGGGTGCGCAAGCACCTCACTCATTTTCATTGGGCTACGTCTGAACCCCTGGGCAGCACCGCTCCTGCCTTGCACCCACTAGGCTTCTTCCCCCTGCGGGTTGCTGGCTCTGGCTCCTCAGAGGGGCTCGTGGTCGCGTCTCCTCTCGTCTGAGCCAGGCCCCGTGAGGCACTCTGGAGAGCAAGCCAGGCTTTATTTACAAACTCTCCGCTCATCTGACCCTCCGCCCCCCCCCCTGCCTCGGCAGCGTTAGTGAGGGGCCTGTGGGTGGGGCAGGAGCCTCTGGGCCGTGCTGAACAGTGGCCTGTGGTGCTCACCGCGTGGAAAGGGAACAGCCAGAGGCTGGTGCCTGTTGTGGAGGCAGTTGTGAAAGACCCCGAGAGCTTAAAGCGGGGGGGGGGCACATTTTAGAAATGTCTGGAGTGGCCGCTGGCTGCCCCAGAAGGGACGGGGACTCGGGTGGATGGGGCAGGGCCAGGAGGCTTCCTGTGCTCCCCCACCCACAGTCCCCGCTTGGCCTGGGGGTGGGGAAGCCCTCCCCACCTAGAGAGAACCACCGGCCATTTTGAACAGCTGGCAGTTCGCCCTAGGTGCCATGCGCCCCTGGCGAGGGGACGAGGTCTCAATTGGCCTGGGGGGGAGGAGTGGCAGGGGGATCATGGGCTGGATCAAACGGCTTGGGGGCCGGATTGGGCCTGCGGACGCTGTCTTGCCCACCTCTGGCTTAAACCCTCATTCAAAATAACAGACCTCCCCTTAGCTCTGCCTTCCAGAAGCTCCTCTGCTCCTGGCCCCAGACGATGCAGGCGCTTGGGCAGCAGGCCAGGCCAGACAGCATCGCCGATGTGGCTCAGTGTGATCTGCTCAATGCATCGTTCACCTGCCCCCTCTGAGCTTTCCCTGCCCAGAGTCCCTGGGAGCTCTGCCGGGGAGGAGGCTGGGGCTGGGGAACCGGACTTTTTGGTAAAAGCCCCCTATGGACCTCATGCAAAGGGAAGTACCTTGGGTTGCTGCTGGCACTGGGAATGTGCCCTGGGTTTGGCGGGGGCCGTGCCAAGCCAACGTCTCCCTGCGGTTCCGCTCTGGAGGGGGGTCCCAGGGGGAATCAGACCCCGAGACGGCTCAGAGCAGCGAGTCCACCGGTGCACGAGGGCTGTAGAATGAGTGAACTGGCTAGACAGAGGGCCGCCCCTCCCGCCCCCATGGAAACAAAAGCTGAGGGGTAAAGTAAAAAAAGAAACGCACTGTGAGGCAGGGGCCAGAGTCTCAGCTGGTGGAAAGGGACATCAGGGAACAGTGACTCTGAAATGAACTTGGGGGGCATGCTGGGAGATCAGCCGAGCGTGTGATCCTGGGATGTAGCTAGTGGGGACTCGGGGGCAGCTGGCGAGATATATGGCCCTAATGCAGCTGCTAATCGGATAGCGTCCACTATCAGGGTGCATCTAGACAGCACCCTTACCTCGAAATACACTATGCAATTTGCACTGCGGAAATTGTATAGCTTGTTTCGATGTTATTTGGAAATAAGGTGCTATTCCGAAACCTCCCTTATCCCTCCTGCAATGTTTCCAGGGACGTCGGAATAGCAAGCCCATGATATTTTGATATAACGGGCTTGCTCTTAAGATGTGGAATAGCTATTTCAGGATCCTGGAGGTATCTTGAAATAGCTCCACTGTGTAGACGTAGTATGAGTGTTCACAATTCAGGAAAGAGGCTGATAAGTTAGCGAGGGCTCAGAGAAGAGCCAAGGCAGAGTTGAAAGGCTTGGAAAACATGCCTGACAGGGAGAGACTCAAAAGCTCAAGCCGGATCAGGGTCTATAAGGGCCTCCTGGGGGAATGGGAATTGGAGAATCGAGGGCTCTTCCATCCAACAAACAAAGGTACCGAAAGATTAGTCACTGCAAGGTGACGCTGGACAAATTCAGCTTAGAAATAAGATGCATCTTTAACAGTGCCTCCACCTGCCATCAGCTAACTCAGCTCTGACTAATAGAACCCCGCGCACCCCCAAGGGGCTGAGAACACAGGGGAAAGGCTTGCAATCCTGAGCTGGTGAGGATTCCCCATCCCGGCTTCAGCCCTCCCAGGCAACAGCTTGTTGCCCTGAGGTAGCTTATGCTTATAGAAGGAGACCGGCCAGTTTTACTACCCTTGGGTTTAGAAGAGGTGAAGAAACAGAGCACAAATCCAAAGCCACTTCATGGGTCACTGGGACTAGCTGTCAGGAGTCTTGGAGCCCACTGCTCTGCTCTGCTCTAACCACTAGGTCACGCTCCCTGCATAAAAAAGGGCAGTGCCATTAAATCCAAAAGGGTCTTTCCGGGGCTTCATTAACACCGAGTCAGATCCTCAGCAGGTGTCAACCAGCGCAGCGCCCTCCAAGCCAATGGAGTGAGGCTGATTTCCAGCAGCCGAGGCCCCGGTGACAGCAGTTTGCTGCATGCTGAGCAATAGGACAATCACAGCTAATGATGGCTCATGTATTTGACCGTCTCCTTATTACCATTTTCTGTTCTTCAAAGGGCCACCCCTGTTCTCCTTTTCTTTCATTGTTCTGGAGCGTCTAAGTGAGGCAGTGTGCAGAGGTGAGTTCTTCTCCCCCTCCCCCTTTTCCTTCCCTTTCTTCTCTGAAAGACATAAAAATAAACTCACTCGCATTCAATGGGTAGAAATGATGTGTGAGCAGCCGGAGCCTGTGGCTAGCTGTTAAAAATCTTTAATAAGTGAGACTCTGTCACCAGGAATATAAAAGGGAATTGAAAGGGGAGATTAAACACAGGGAATTATGTATTCGGCCTTCTGCTAAATCCAGAGGGGCTTGTGTTTCTTTTCTTTTCCCTCCACTACCTCTGATCTGCCTTTGTTGTAGCTTTTAATGACGCCCAGATGGGAAGAGAACAATAGCTTGTGGGGAACATTTTAGGAATAGGCTTGCTTGATCATCAGATAGAGCAGTAAATCCCAGCAGGCAAAGGAGGCGTGGCTTAGCAAAGGACTAACAGGGTATTTTCTCTTCCAGATTAGTGGTTGTGACATGAGCCCACTTTTGTTCCTTGTAGAGATGGGTCTAAAGCAGGGGCGGGCAATAAGAAGGAGGCAGTTTGCCCCTGGCAGACCACTGGTGGCTTCCACAGGTATGGGTGCTTGTAGCTCCCATTGGCTGCAGACTGCCATTCCTGGCCAATGGGAGCTGCAGGAAGCAGCGTGGACTGGGACATTGCTTCCTGCAGCTCCCATTGGCTGGGACTGGGGAGCTGGAGCCCATGGACGCCTCCCTTGGGCTGGGAATGGTGATCTGTAGCCAATGGGGGCTTCAGGCACCTGTATATGCAGAGGCATCATCAAATAAAGCAGCAGCAGCCTACTAGGGGCTAGCCCATGGGCCAGCTGAAATCCTGCTCCGCCCTGGGAGCTCAGTTCAGTGACTAACACACCCCTGATTCCAGGTTGAGGCAGAAGCCAAAAAGGGCCAGAGGCTGATTCGGGGGGGTTAAATGTGACGGAAATTTCACAAAATTTCACAACGGTGGCTGATTTCTGCCACTCTAAGATCTGAGTGTCTGCAATCCAAATCCAGACCCTAATGTGAGTCTGAACCACAGCTGTAATGTAAATGTAAATGTACCCACTCCTCACCTAGCTATTGCCTCGCTCTGCAGAGCTGTAGTCACAAAGGAGGTCAGTAGCCTTGTGCCCATTTTACAGATGGGAAATCTGCAGCACAGAGAGTGACTTGCCCAAAGCCTTGCACCCTCTGTGCAATGAGGCATGGAGGGGCACTGGCCAGCCACACTCCTCAGTCACCTCTCCCCGAGCGATGCTCGCTTGTGAAATAATAGGCACACAAAGACACTCCTTACAACAGGAGTAGCACCCAGCCCTGGCACTGTAAGAGCTGAGGTCTCAGCAGTGCCAGCATTTGCTGCCAAGGAACACAGCAGCCAGTCCCCTGCCCTGCTTTACCGCATGGAGGCAACCACCTGGCAGCTGCTTTCGCCTTTGTCAGACACGAGGGCTTTAGTGCAGGCTGGTGAGACTGGCGGGTACGTCTGAGAGCGGGGAGGCAGCTGGGAAGAGAGAGTGACTCAGAGAGACTGGCGAGAAACCAGGGCCAGTTTCCAGCATGTAACCCTTCGCATGCTGGGCAGAAACGCAGGGCCAGGCAAGGTGGAATGAATCCCCGGCCCCGAGCCCCATTTTGCTTTGGGGACGAGGCCGCTTTGGGCCTACCGGCCCAGGTTCCCAGCTGGAATAAGCTGGGGTGTTGGTTGCACCAGTTCACGCCAGTGGTGAATCTGGCTCAGAATTCCAGTGTGAGCCCCCTTCTGAGATGGGCCAACGCTGGGCTAATGTGCTGAAAGCTAAGGAATCCCTGCTCCGATCCCTAGGCCCCCTTCCCTTGCGTCCTCAGCCCACGGTCCCTTTGTTCCTGTCCATTCTTTCCCCAGTTTTTCTCTCTCTTCTCCCCATGCTCCTCTCCCCTCTAACCACTGCCAGCTCTCCCCTGCTATGCTGCTTGTCTGCCTGTCCTCTGCCTCTCTCCTCCTCCTGGTGCAACATCCGGCTTCTCTCTGCAGCACGCACCCTTGCTGGGCAAGCAGCGAGCTGGATACGGTTGGCAGGGGGTGGGGGAGTGGCTGAAAGTGGCAGCAGTGGCCTGTTCCCCCCTTTTCCCTCTTGCACAAATTTAGCTCCCCTGTCCCGGGCAACACAACCTTACCTCATCCCAGGTCACTACTAAGTTCTGCACCCAGCCAGGAGTCTTGGTCCCCAAAACATGGCAAACTTCACTCTAAGGTGGCATTTGCTAAGGGGGAAGGCATTATGGCTTACACGCTTTACCCTGCCCCCCCAAGTTTGCACATAGTGGCTAACACAATTCCCCGCCCCCCCCAATTTTCTGAAAAGATGCCTCGGCTCTATTGCTTCCCATTTCTCGTCAGTGCTCCTCTCAGCTGTAGTACCCACCTGTGCGATGCTCAGTCCCTTCCCCCTCCACCCCCACAACCCCGTCCTCCTGGCAAGGTCTGCTCAGGATATAGGAGGGATTCTGAGACAAGAACCCTCATCCCCATCACTTGTAGCCTAGCAACAAGAAGGTACCTCACTACAGAGGCTGGAGAGGGAAGTTGGACCGCGTGGGAGAGGCAGCAATCTCAATGCTATTCCTCCTGGATTCTACCTGCTTTCTTCCTTCTTCCCAGCTCATTTCCTTTAGTGGCTCTGTGACAGGCCTGGCATTTTCTCTGGCCTGGTCTTATGGTTTATGGGTGTCCTTGGAGCGTGTGGCAAAGGCTGAATTAATGAGCAGCAATGAACTCACTGATCAGCTTGGTGGGCAGCCCAGGGAATGTGTTGGGGATGAAGAGGGAAGTGGCAGGGACAATGCAGGGCATGGCACTGAAGAACAAAAGGGAAAGGAAAGACCTTGGATATGACATTCAGGCGTCATTGATTCATTCATTCGTGTGAGGGGCTCAGCAACTGCTGGCTTACTATTTTTTTACTTTTATCATCGTCATTGTTTGTTATGAGGATTTGAGAGCAGCCTTCAACTTCCTGAAGGAGGTTCCAAAGAGGGACGGATGGCAGAACAAGGAGCAATGGTCTCAAGTTACAGTGGGGGAGGTCTAGGTTGGATATTAGGAAAAACGATTTCCCTAGGAGGGTGGTGGAGCACTGGGCTGGGTTCCCTAGGGCGGGGGTGGAATCTCCATCCCTAGAGGTGTTTAAGTCTCGGCTTGACAAAGCCCTGGCTGGGTTGATTTAGTTGGGATTGGTCCTGCCTTGAGCTGGATTTGATGACTCCTGAGGTCTCTTCCAGCTCTATGATTCTATGTATTTGAGCCCTGTCTGTTTCAGGGGCTCTGTGAAATAGCACACTGTCATGGGTGCGCAGCCGCAACCCTCCTGAGGAACACAGACACACTGATGAGAAACACGCAAAAAATACACAAAGGCATGAACAGGTCTGTCCACCAGTGTGTGCAACGACACAAACACACACCCAGGTATGCACCTGCATGCACATGCATGGACACACAGTCCAGGGCACATATACACACTACTGCATACACACACACCGCATGATGTGTGATCCCTTCCCTCACACATCCACAGTCACCCTGAGAGTCACACAATACTACGCACAGTGCATACACACACACCGCATGATGCGTGATCCCTTCCCTCACACATCCACTGTCGCCCTGAGAGTCACACAATACTACGCACAGAAACAGGGACTTGGCGCTTGTCTGCGCTGTAAGTTTCTCGCCCGAGCGCTGTAACGGGTCAGTGTAAACAGGCTCCCAGGGCTGCTAGCTTCTCCCCCAGTGGAGGAGGTTTACCGAGAGCGCTGGGAGAGCTCCCTCCTAGGGCCTCTGCACTGCTTTAAACTTGAACGCGCAGAAGCCTTAGCTAGAGACACTCGTAGACCCTCCCTCCCCCCACTAATTCTCACTCAACCCCCCATGCGCTTTTTCCTGCTCTCTCCCGTGTGCACACACACCTTGAATTGAAATTCCAGCCCCTCCCTTCCACTCCAGAATCCTCCCGCTTTGTGGTGTGGAGGTTCTGGGCGCGATGCTTAGAAGGCCCTTCAGAGAAGAAAGCAGGTGAAATGGTGAGCAAGAGGGAAGAGGACGGGGGGAGGGGCGCATAACTGTGCAAATAGGCCAAGAACAGGGTCGTCCTTAGGCAGACGCAACTGTGTAGGGTACAACTAAATTTGGGGGGTCAGTGTACTCCACATTCAGTCGTGCCCTGTGCTCTTGGGCAGTGGTTCTCTTGGGCATGAAAGGGGTGTGTGGATGGACTCATCCTTGGCCAGGCTCTGTGCCCATTGCAGGCAGCAGGGGTTTTGCCCTGGAGTCCAGTGGGAGCAGAGTTTGGCTGAGTGCTTTTCAGAACCCAGCCTGGCTCCGGGTAGATCACACTGCTCCAATTGGTGTGGCTGCAGCGCGTGCCGAGTTGCCCGAGCTAGCTTCAATCTAGCCGGTGCCGATGACAACAGCAGGGAGGCAGCCGCGGCCCAGGCTAAGCACTGGAGTACGTCCCCAGGGTCCTTAAATAGCACGTGTTGCCATGGCGTCGGGGCTATTGCTATTGGAGCTAGCTTGCTCCAGTCCCCCCACCCCCGAATGTGCTGGAGATGTGCCCTGGGAACATTCAACTGCGTCAGGGCCAGGATGACTCTTGTCCCCATGCTCAGCCCATGGGACTGACCCGTGTCATTCAAAACCTCCTGCAGAACTTGCCTTCCCTGGTAACATTGCCGAGTGGGAGTGGTGGTTCACCAGGTGGCATCTTCACAGATAACCGGAGAGCTATCCTTGTTTGTGAGGACAGGTTCCTGGATTAAGGGGGCTCGTCGGCTGGTGTGATGTAGTGTTGGTACCTTGCTGGTTGCTGTGCTGTGCTGTTAGCCTGTAACTAAAAAAACTTAAAGGACAACAAATACTCCTGCAGCACCTTAGAGACTAATAACAAAAAATGTAACTTCCCACTTCTTCAGATGCATGAAGTTAAGAGGTCCCAGCTGCAAAATAAATAGCAGAGAAAGAGAAGGAAAAATATGAGAAAAATTGTCAATTAGAATGTCCAGGCTAACTGAAGCTGATAGAATGGATCCTAAGAACTCTTAAGTATCCGGTGCTTGGCTTTTTATGTCATTAGGCTGTGGAAAGTTGCTGGTAATTCAGTTAAGGTCTTTGTTTAAACCTCTATTGCAGGTATCAGACTTGTAAATTGAATTAAGTTCTGTGGCTTCCCTTTCAAGCTGTTTTTTTAAATTGCTTTGTGATAATGTGGCAACTTTGAGATCTATTAGTGAGGGCCTGGGGAAGTTAAAATGTTCCCCAACAGGTTTCTGTGTGTTACCTTTTCAAATATCTGTGGATTAATCCTTTCTCATAGAGACTGTCCAATTTGGCCAATATCCATGGCAGAGGGGCATTGCTGGCACTTGATGGCATAGATGTGGTCAAGTCCTGTGATGATGTCGCTAGTATCGATGTGTGTGGACAGAGTTGGCACAGGAGCGGATAGCAGCGGTGAGTTCCTGGATGGGTATGAGGAGGTGTGTTGCATGGTTGCTGGAAAGAATTTGTTTGAGGTTAGGGGGTTGTCTGTAGGAGAGGACTGGCCTGTCCCCCAAGGCCTGTGAAAGCGAGGGGTCAGTTTCCAGGATAGGTTGTAGATAGTTAATGATGCACTGGAGGGGTTTAAGTTGGGGGCTGTAGGTGATGACTAGCGGTGTTCAGGTCAGAAGATCAGCCTGGGTACTCATCTGGCTCTGTCACTCTGTTCTTTCACTTCTCTGGGTGAGTATTTTAGTTTTAAGAATGCTTGAAATAGATCCTGTAGGTGTTTTTCTCCGTCTGTGGGACTGGAGCAAAGCCAGCTGTATCTTAGCGCCTGGCTGTAGACAATTGATTGGGAAATGTGTCTTGGATGGGAGCTAGCGGCATGAGGGTAAGTGTAACGGGCAGTAGGTTTCCGGTATAAGGTGGTGGAAATGTGGCTGTCGTGTAATTGTACCGTAATTCCACCCCACCCTCAACCTTAGCCTGGACCGCTCCCTTGGCACTACAGTACACTGCTGCAGGGCAGAAGAGATTCCACTAAAAGCTGCTTGAAATGGTTCTGGGTTTTGCCTTGGTCCTGGCATGGAGCGCACTGACCAAGGGGGCCTTGGCTTTGGCCTTCCAAACAGCTCTCGTTCAGAAGGCCACGCCATCACGGCCACTCACAAGCGGAGCAAGCCAGACGGTGCTCCCATTGCTCGCCATGGCCTGGAGTCGTTTACTCCAGCACAAAGTGGGGGTAACGTTGCACTTTTCTGAATGACTCTCAGATGCGGCACGTCAGGAAACCAGGCTCAGAAGAGCCGCCAAGCCGCTTCCACTTTGGTGGCCTTGCCTTGATCCTCCCCGTGCCTGGGGAGCACGGTAGATGTCAGTGGGAGATGGGTGTGCCATGGCGATGCAAGATCATGTGTTTTAAGAGAGAGGGCCGGAGGCAGTTTCCTGACACCCACCATGCCCCAGCTGGGAGCCCGACAATCTCCCAGTATGAAGCTCCGTCCCACCGACTGACGCTCTTTTTAATGCAGAGGGCACAATCTGGCCTGTCACTCTTTGTGTGAACACAGTAATATAATAACACAAAGACAAGGGCTGTGTCTAGACTGGCCAGGTTTTCTGGAAAATCAGCCGCTTTTCCAGAAAAACTTGCCAGCTGTCTACACTGGCCGCTTGAATTTCTGCAAAAGCACTGACTTCCTACTGTAAGAAATCAGTGCTTTTTGCGGAAATACTGTGCTGCTCCCGTTCGGGCAAAAGTCACTTTTGCGCAAAACTTTTGCGCAAAAGGGCCAGTGTAGACAGCTGAGATATGTTTTCCGCAAAAAAGCCCCGATGGCGAAAATGGCGATCAGGAAACTTTTAACGGAAAACTTTTCCGTTAAAAGCATTTCCGGAAAATCATGCCAGTCTAGACGTAGCCAGAGAGTGCAGGGGCCTTTCTGGCAAAGGGTAGCTAGGGCCAGCTGTAATGACTAGAGAGGGATTGATTGATCCTTAGACACCAACTGACCCTGTGGTTCTCTCTGGCTCTCATCTGTCACAGCCTGTATTGCCTGGGGTAACCTACAGGGTCTCCTAAATCCTGGCCTGGATTCTGCACTTATGGAAGGGACTAGTGGGTAGAGATGGCCAGGAATTTTTTGGCACACAGTTGTAATAGGAAGAGAGAGCCTGAAACACAGGGCCTGGTATGAGACACGAGGCCTGAATGAAAGTCAGCAAGAGTCAGGCCCCACTACAAAGCAAATACCTGCTTACAAGGTCACCGTCTGGTACATGAGCTGGCAAAAATATGGCTGGCTAAAACAAGGGTGTGTCTAAGAAGTACGAGGCACTCGGCATCATAGAATCCTAAGGCTGAAAGAGCCCTCAGGAGTCATCGAGTCCAGCCCCCTGCCCAAAGCAGGACCAACCCCCAACTAAATCATCAGTCATGTAAACGC